CCCAAAACCCCAAAACCCCAAAACCCCAAAACCCCAAAACCCCAAAACCCCTTGGTATCAAAGTTATGCAATTTATGTGAAAAATTATATTATTAGAATTTAAATGAGAGATAATAGTTCTTAAGGAAGTAAAGGTTAATTGATCAAAGTGACAGCTGCACAAAAAAAAGCTTAAGAATTTCAAAAAAAGCAGATGACTATCACTATCTCAGAAGGAGATGAGACAGTATCGAGAAATTCACCGAGTAGAGGCGAGCTAAATTAGGTAAAAATGACAAATTATATTCAAGATCAGCAGAGTGCTGTTGCAGTTGATACCCCAATCAATTAGGATTTAGTGAACAGAAGGTTATAAGGCAGAGTAAGCCCAATCTAAAAACATATAATTAAGAGCTTTGCAGAGTAGAATGTCTTTATCAATAATGTTTAGATGGCTCTTAGTCAGGGTAAAAACCCCTTCACTCTAAAAAATGAAAAAGTAAAGCGTTATAGTAACTCTAATAATGATGAATATGTAATAAACTTTGGCACTGGTTCGAGTAATATTCGATCACGCTAATTTAATCAAGTTATCTCTAACTAGACACCATACAACAACACAAATGGAAATGCCAAAGATATTAGCACCGCCAATTAGACTCTAATATCCCCAATTCAACTACACAATCTTTACTAACAAGCTAAGCTATCTAACATTAAAAAAGCTAAAAATGAAAATTTAAAGAAATTAACCTATTCTGCAAACTAACAGGCAACATTTCAATAATCTCCTCTATTAAACAAAGAGTAAAACAATAATCAAGGATTTTTGCCGCTGCTGACATAAACTACAAATAATTTTGGAAAAGACCTCTAGAGTCGCAAACTTACAAATTCTTAGGTTAGTAGTGGAGTAGAAACAACTACGTCAAGTTAGCTTACGCAATAAAAGCTTTACTCTGGCTCAACTCAGTCTAACAATAATTAAGGTATAATTTCCTAGACTCCAAATAATATGTCAAATAAAAATAAAGTCATAGATAAGATCTATATATACAAAGAGAAGCAGAGAAATACAAATAATCAGAGCAAAGATAAGAACAGGGTAAATTAATATTGTGCTAATAATGTTTATAGAAGTCTCCAAGGAGCTCGAGTAATTCTCAAATGAATACCAACAGCCAATTGGGGAATCTTTAGTCATAGCAATCATAAATATAAAATAATTAGACAGCTTTACCTACAAATACTAGAGCCATCGATTACTATCAGACTAAAAATTTAGCTTTGAGAGAGTTTATCAATGAAAACTATCATAGTAATAAAGAATAGAACTAAGGAACTTAAATGAATCTGAGATCTACTAAAAATAGTCTCTTTTCCAAAAACACAGTAGATTTTCAATAATAAAAATAGTATCTGTAAGATGAATTATTTGCAGATAATCAAATTCTATAAAACATCAATGAGGAGATGCTTCGTTTGAACTAATATATAAAGTAAAAGGTTTATCAAAAGAGCAATTACAACTCTATTTTAGCAAGAAAGGCTGATGAAATTTCTCTGACCAGTAATCCTAATCATAATGATATATCAACACCCTAATCAGAAGTACATACTTAGAGCAATATTGAAAATTCCAGAAAGGATAATATCAGTTTCGAAGATACTTTCTCACTATGAGGAAAATCTTTCCATAACAAGATGAAAGACAAATTTTAGGAGGAGTTAAGAGCTTAAACTAAGCTAAAAGAGCTTAATATAAATTTATTTGAGAAATAAAGAGACTCTTACTCCCATACAGTAAGAGATTACAGCAAATTTAAATCAGCTTGCAGATCTTACTCTAAGACAATTAAATACTAAACACCGAGAATATATTAAAATCTAACAAAGAGAGTTATGTAAAGCTAGGAGTCTCAGAATTTAGATAGAACTAGACTGCCATTGCTGGTAATAATGCTTGAAGGTGTAATTTCATATTGGTCAGAGTTGAAATAACTATAGCTTATTGTTCGTCATTGCACTTAAGAGAATCTAATTTATCTAAGCCAGAAGTTCAGAATAGTATTATTTTCTGCATACAAGCAAAAAAGAATAAAAGCATTTTGCAATTATTTGATGTACGCTAGAGAGCCATTTATATTTGATGCGGTATATAAAGTTCATAAGAACTGCTAATGAGGTACTATTCAAAGATTCGATTATACCCAAATTCTCAAAGATTTCGGTTATGAAAACAGCCAACTTCGAATACTTGAAAATCTTATCATAATAAACAGTATCGAGAACGATGAGGACTCATAGGAGTTTTCCTATCGAGATATCAGAGGTTAGTTTGAGTATTAATCAGACTAGTTTAATACATTTAGTGAAGCTCCAGTTTAAATCCTAATCTAAAATCTTTGATAGAGTCAATTTATCTCATTTGAGAGAATTACTGATATAATATTGAAGCTAACTCGACTTACTCCATTAGATTTTCAATAATTTCATCAAAATAGTAATGGATCAACACATCATCAATATCTTCAGGACTTTATTGGCAATCATCATCATCATTCTAAGAACTAAAATTCCCATATTGACTAGAACTTCACATAAAATTTTAAAAATCTAAGAAAATCTCTGGATGATTTAATCAACTTAAAACTCATAATGAAGGATTTTGAACACTAAGAAACTAGAGAGCTCAAGTTTTAGTAGATGAAAGTGAAAGTCGAGTTATAAAAAACCTAATTACAAAAAAACAGCAGTCCTGAGCCGATCTAGAAATTTCTAGGTAAGACTGGCATTGAATTGTACTACTCAACTTATAATGAACTGAATATGCAAAACACTTAGCTTAAGAATTAGCTAAATAGATATTTCAATGAGTACTACTCTAACAAGGAGCCTTAGGATAAACTATAGCAAATATATGAGGATCTTCAAAGACAAATCATAAAATCAACTTTTAAGCATCGAATGATAAAAGTATGTGCTTTTGAGAATAGGAACCACCCACCATCAGAACTTTACTTGTTTATCGATGAGAAAAAGAAGGCAAAGATAGTAGATATTCTTGCAGTAAAGTAAAAATAAATACCATAGCAAGTTAACACAAATCCGCTAATAAATGCAACTATAAGTTTAACCTTATAAGAATAAAATAACTTTATTAACCAATTCACACAATCAGCACAGAGAAATAAGCAGGCTAATAATACTTCTAATATATGAATGCTAGTAATTAAAAATATATAAATAGTTTTTTTTAAGTTTTATGATTTGATCTATCATCAGTATCATGGGGTTTTGGGGTTTTGGGG